TGTCCATAGATCTGTAGTGATGTCCCCTCTTTCATTTCTGATTTTAGTAGTTTGTATCTTCTCTTTTTTTTTTCTTAGTTAGCCAGGCTAGAGGCTTATTGATCTTATTGATCTTTTCAAATAACCAGCTTTTAGTTTTGTTGATTTTCTCTGTTGATTTCCTATTTTCACCTTCATTGTTTTTTGCTCTAATTCTTAGTATTTCTTTTCTTCTGCTTAGTTCAAATTTAATTTGCTCTATTTTTCTAGCTTCCTAAGATGGAAACTTAGGCTGTTGATTTTTAGATCTTTCTTTTTTTCTAGTATATGTATTCAATGCTAGAAATTTCCCTCTAAGCACTTCTTTTGCTGCATCCCACAAATTTTGATAAGTTGTGTTTTCATTTTCATTTAGGTCAAAATGTTTTTAAGTTTCTCTTGAGATTTCTACTTTTACCCATGTGTTATGAAAAAGTGTGTTGTTCAATATCCACAGGTTTTTGGATTTTCCAGTTCTCTTTCTGTTAGTGATTTCTAGTGTAATTCCATTGTGGTCTGAGAGCAGACATTGTGTGATTTCTATTCTTTAAATTTTTTAAGTGTGTTTGATGGCTCAGAATGTGGTCTATCTTAGTGAATGTTCAATGTGAACCTGAGAAGAATTTGCATTCTGCTGTTGTTGGATGAAGTAGTCTATAGATGTCAATTATATCCAGTCGATTGATGGTGTTGTTAAGTTCAACTCTGTCTTTACTGATTTTCTGCTTGCAGATCTGTCTCTGATAGAGGGGTGCTAAAGTCTCCAGCTATGATAGTAGATTCATCTATTTTTTTCCTTGCAGTTTGATCACTTTTGCTTCACATAGTTTGATACTCTGTTGTCAGGTACATACACGTTAAGAATTTTTATGTCTTCTAGGAGAAATAACTCCTTTATCATATGTAATGCCCTCCTTTATTCCTGATAACTTTCCTTTCTTTGAAGTCTGCTTTGCCTGAAATTAATAAAGCTACTCCAGCCTTATTTTAATTGGTATTAGCATGGTATGTTTCTCTCCATCCATTTATCTTTAATCTACATGTGTCTTTATATTTAAAGTTGGTCTGTTGTAGACAACACATAGTTGGGTCTTGTTTTTTGGTGCCCACTGATCAATCTCTGTCTTTTAACTGTTGCTTTTAGACCACTAATGTTCAAAGTGACTATTGATATAATTGGATTAATATTTACTGTATTTGTTACTTTTTTCTGTTTGTTGCCCTTGCTCTTTGTTGCTATTTTTGTCTTCCATTCTTTTTCTTCCTTTGTCAGTTTTAATGGAGCATTTTATATGATTCCATTTTTTCTGTTATCTTAGCATATCAGTTATACTTCTTTTCTTACTTTAATGGTTGCCCTGGAGTTTGCAACTTATACAGAGAGAAAGTTTGCAACTAATCTAAGTCTGCTTTCAAATAACACCTCACTTCACAGGTTTGTTTGAGTACCTTATAATAACAAAATAATCCTAATTCCTCCCTCCCACCCCTTGTATTCTCGCTATCATTCATTTCATTTATATGCAAACATATGTAAGTATATATGAGTATATATATGTAAGATATATAAGTAAGTGAATACATTATTATTGTTATTCTTTTGAACAAATTTATCTGTTACATTAATTATGAATAAGAAAAATAAAAGTTTATATTTTATCTTCACTTATTCTTCTTTACTTTATGTAGATCTGAGTTTCTGACCAATATTATTTTCCTTCTCTCAAAAGAACTTCTTTTAACATTTCTTGCAAGGGAGGCCTACTGACAACAAATTCTCTCAATTTTTGTGTCTGAGAAAGTCTTTATTTTTCCCTGACTTTTGAAGGATAGTTTTGCAGGGCACAGAATTCTAGGTTGGTGAGTTTTTTCTCTCAACACTTTAAATATTTTACTTCACTTTCTTCTTGTTTGCATGGTTTCTGAGAAGTCAAATGTAATTCTTATCTTTGTTCTTCTATAGGTAAAGTGTTTTTTTCTTCTGGCTTCTTTTAGGACTTTTTATTTACCTTTGATTTTCTGTGGTTTGAAAATGATGTGCCTAGGTATAGTATTTTTAAAACATTTATCCTGCTTGGTGTTCTCTGAGCTTTCTGGATCTATGGTTTGTGTTTGACATTAATTTGGGAGAAATTCTCAGTCATTATTGTTTTAAATATTTCATCTGTTCCCTTCTTGCTTTCTTCAACTGTATTCCCATTACACATTTTGTAGTTGTCCTGCAGTCCTTGGATAATCTGTTTTGCTTTTTTTTTCAGTCTTTGTTTTATTTGCTTTTCAGTTTTGGAGGTTTCTACTGAGATATCCTCAAGCTCAGAGTTCTTTCCTCAGCTGTCTCCAGTCTACTAATCAGTCCATGAAAGGCATTCTTCATTTCTCTTATAGTGCTTTTGATCTCTGGTACTTCCTTTTGTTTTTTTCTCAGGATTTCCATCTCTCTTTTTACATTGCCCATCGATTCTTTCATGCTGTCTATTTTATCCATTAGAGCCCTTAGCACATTAATCATAGATGTTTTAGATTCTTGGTCTAATAATTCTAACATTCTGTCTGTTTCTGATGCTTGCTCTATCTTTTCAGATTGTGTTTTTTTGCCTTTTAGTATGCCCTGTAATTTTTTCTTGAAAGCTGGACATGATGTACTGGGTAAAAGGAACTGCTGTAAATATGCCTTTAGTGATGTGGTGGAGCGCTGTGTGGGAGAGGGGAAGGGTTCTATAGTCCTCTGATTAGGTCTCAGTCATTTAGAGAGCCTATGCCTCTGGATGGTGTGCTTCATAAATGTTTCCCAGTTTTTTCTCCCCTCTTTGGTAGGATGGTATGGCTTCAGGGGGCTGGAGTTGGGTCTTTCCCTTCTCCTAGGTCAGGATAAGCTCTGATACTATCCCAGTGGGTTAGGCTCTGTTTTTGTAGTTTCACCTGAGGGCAGGCCTTAAGAAGAACAGCATGCTCTGGCCTATTTCAATTGTTCTTTTACCTTCCCCTTGCTGGAAGCACTAGGGGGTTTTTCTCTGATATTTACTGTGGAAACCTAGTTGAGCTCCTGGAGGTAAAATTCACAAAAGTGTAGCAGCCGCCTCATAATAGGATCCCCCTAGAGTTTCAATTCTCAGACTTGTCTGCACTGAGCCTCCAGCAATTCATCAATTATGGTTCAGATTTTCCTATGTCAGCACTGGTTCCCATGGTAGTTTCTGCTTGTGAGTCTCCACTCCAGTAAGCCATGACTCCCTGTGTTTACCTGTTTGTCTCTCCAGTCTTGGGGGCAGTGGTTTGCTTTGTATCCTCACCTCTCTTAAAGATCCAAGAAGAGTTGTTGATTTTTCCATCTGTTCAGCTTTTTCGTTTGACAACTTCCAAGTACATTATACGGAGAGCCAGAAACCAGAAGGCCTTGCCACTTACTTTCTTTTCTCTATTCCTGCTTCTTCCCTTTTCTCCATTTCTTCTTTCTTTATCTGTATCTTATCCCTACCATAGACATCTGTGGATGTTGATTAATTTTCCCTCTAGTATCTAGTGCTCAAGATGTTTGAGAACCCTGCATCAAGAGAACACTGGGCAGCCCTACACTGTAACATTGTGATTTTTCCAGAAAACTCTTATCTTAGATAATAATAATAATAGAAAATACATAGTGCCTACTATGTGCCAGTTACTTTACACAAATTAATTCATATAATTTTCGAATAATTCTTTGAGATAGGTCTATTATTTTCTCTATCATCTTCAATTCCTTGATTTTATTTTAAAAAGAATAAAAATATCTTTTTAACAAAAGGAAATAGAGGAATTTCTGGCTTTCTAGAATTTTTAGACAACTGAGATTTAACCTTTGAGTACAAAGAGTTCAACCAAAATGAATATGGATTATTGTTACAGGAAGAAGGCTTCTTTATGTCCTTCAATGAATTAAATTCTCAAAACATCATTAAAAAGACAGACAGCTATATCCTCCACCGTTCTCATAAAGAGCAACAGCTTATCTAACTAATGATTGTGCCGTGTTAAAAAATTAAACTCTCAACTTTTGATATTACCAAGATCCTCTTCACCATGGTGGTTTTAACAATTTAAAAACTATCACCTTGAAATTTGAGGTGAAAACAAAGCATATAGGTGTTTTTCTGATTGATTCAAATGATTGTCCCAGGACTTTCCAGTCACATTTAAAAAAAGAAAAAAACACTTTTACTGCATTTATCACACAAATGATACATATTCATGGTGGGTAGTACATATAATCAGAAAGAAGACAGGAGGGCAGAAAGAAGGAAGAAGGGAGGGAGAGAGGAAAGGAGGAAAACAAGGAAGAAAAAGTAAAAGAAGAAGATAGAAGAGGAAAATCTCCTGAAATCCCATCAGTCATTGATAATCACTGTTGACATTGTAGGGTATATCTTTTAATTCTTTTATATATGTATGTGGATTGTACTTTTTAATAAAAATATGTCATACTCTTTTCTAACCTCCTTTTATTTTTTTTGCTAGACAATATATGACTTTATTGTGCAGATGGATATACCTTAGCTAATTAGACAAATCACCAATTATTGAACATTTAGATTATTTCCAGCTTTTCTTTATATCCTTTACATAATCATAATTAATTTCTTAGGATAAAGTCCTAGAGAAGGAGGAAGTGGGTTAACAGGTAAGTAAATGTTAAAGCTTTTGATATTATTGCCAAGTTGTCATCCAAGAAGGTCATACAATTTTATTTCCACTAGTAAAGTTCCAAACCACCAGCAAATATTGCTATTCACTGTTATTTTAATTGTCGTTCCCTTTATTACCAAGAAGAAGAAACTTGCTTTTCAAATGTTTATGGACTATTTATCAATTATATGATTTCTAGGTTAAAAGCAGCTCCCCTTTCCTATGGCTTTCAACTAGATTATTGAGAAACTGAATTCCCAGTTGAACAAGGCAGAAAATATTGCCAGATTCTGCTAACTATAATATGCTATCTGATTTTAAAGTTTCACCGTACATGGAGTCTGAGCTAGAGGTCATCCGATGTTTGAGAATGGCACTGACTGGCGCCGTCAAGGACATTGTACAGCAGATAATATCTGTGATGAGCTCTGGGAGAAACTGTGAGACAAACCTAAACAAGCACAATGTTCCTGAACGTTTGCGTGAAAGCATTCCGAAAGAATGGAACTATGTTCCAAACAAAACGAAAAGGAAAACATCAAGCAAAGGTATATTTGTTTTTCTGTAAGGACATATCCTTCATGAAGCAATTTTCTAGGATATGAGATCAAGTAAAATTCTAAAAACTGTAAAATTTGTAAACTTTATGTCTTCTTTCTACCCTATATATTTGAGACCTGTAATTTTCTTTACTGTGAGCCATATGATCAGGGAAACTAGAAATGAAAATGACTCACATGGTCATCTTTTTTATTTAACTACCAACTCAGAATTTTCTGGATATTTTGTTTATGTTAGTATTCACAGATTAGTCACATGATTTGACTAATTTCCTTTAAATCTATTGAGTAATCTCAAATTCATACTCTTGAGAAGATCACTCTGATGTTTACTTTAATTATTCCTTCCTTGAAGTTTCCTCCTGCATCTACAAATTATTACTTTCTCTTCTCTTACCACACCTACATGTGTACCTTTTAGGTCAAAAATAGCACCCCGTTTAGTAACTATGTATTTTTCTGACAGGGTTATTTTTTTCCCAGTACCTATGGTTCTGAATTCAGTGTGTTGTTCCTATTCAGCACAGTGCATCTACCAAGTGAATTTAAGAACCATCATTTACCTACATTAATCATTTATTTTATTAATCAGTTCCTCTCTTCTTACGTGGTTTCTTTCTACCTAGATGTTTCTACTTTTCCGAGAATTTCACAAGATTCCTTTGAATGTGTATTATATATCTATGTTCATGAATCTTCTTTAGGGTTTTTAAAATAATACTTTTCCCTTTTATAGTAATCTTTAGGAAAGAATATTTTTTCTCTAACTCTAAGGAAACTTTCAGCAGTAAAATACTCAAGCTGAACCCACTGAAGTCAATTGAAGAGACTAGCCTTTCTTTCATTCTTCTCTATGGAGATCCTAAATAATGTGGCTCTTATCCGGCGACCTTATATTACAAACCCAAATCAATTATCTATCTGTGACCTTTCATAGTAATGCTTTAATTCTGTCCAAGCCCTATTAAACTGCCTTTGAGTCTAGTAAAGCCATTTAATTGAAATTGGAAATGTCAGCCTTTCATTGCTTAAGTTCTCCCTTGTCTGAGTTGTTAGCATCTCTCCTTCATCCTAGCTTTTGGATATTTCATAGATTTTGAGCAATTGAAAAGGCATGATCTATAGTTAAAATATCATGTCATATGAGTAGCACTATTTTGCTTGTGGTTTTCAAGTTGTTCTATTCATGAACAATTTTGCTTTCTACAAGCATTTTGGAATTCTTCCATAACATTTCAAAGAGCCTCTGGTTCCAAAAAATTCTTACTTTATAGATACCAGTTCTTGTGATTTTCCTTACTAAATAATATTCTTCATAAAATTATCACGAAGAGTAGAAGCACAACACTTCTACAATAGACAAACATAAGGAGTGCCAAATCACATAAAGATATAAAAGACAGTGACTGAGGAAAATGTCTTTATAAAGCATTTTGTGCATTTCAGGTGGATATGACAATAGGAGAATTACCATTGTTCTTCATTTCTGCCTCTTTTAGACTGACAGTGCTCAACCTTTATTTTCACTACAGTATACAAGACAGATAATGTTTACATGCCAGACATTGATCTCTTATTCATTCAATAGATATTTACTAAGTGAACCACTACTACATACCAGGCACTGGGTTTGAGGTAAACTATAAATAAGGTATCTCCTCCTGGTGCTTGAAGACTAGTATAACTGTTTCGAAATGGATGCAAACACCTCAGGGGAAGTATAAGGCAATTCTTTGGTGTGAGAGAAGAAAGAAAGAAATTAAACTTTACTAAAGTTTCATATGGAGATTGTCATTTGAACCCTCCCTTGGTCTGTGAGTGAGCCGGTCGTGTGTTGGGGACAATGTCATTGGGGAGGGGATGGACAGGGTAACCTCATTCCTTCTTTAGCTTTCAGCATCCAGTAATGAAGTAATGTTGTCGTTTGTATTTCAGAATCTAGTTTTAACAAAATTAATCATTACAAAACACATAAGTGGCATTAATATATTCCTGTAAATAAACAGACCAACTGCACTTTAAAAGTAATACTGGGAACGTGAGGAAGAACAAACAATGGCAAGGTGAAAAGGCTCATGCTTCTTCCTCTTCCCAGCAGGAGCTCTTTCTCAGCCACGGTCTAAGGTAAAACACTGAGGATCTGATCAGATTTGGCCAAAAATAAAAAGAATGAAAAAAGGAAATGTGTTGGAAAACCATTTGAACTATGGCTTTCCATACATTATTGTTCAATGTGAATCCCTCCTGAGTGAGTATTATGCTGTGAGATATTAGCTCAAGATAGTTTGAAGTCATCTTGATTAGCAAAAGATTTCATCCCAAACATGAACACAAACCTCTGAAATCATTTTCAACAATGTTTTAAGTTAAGTGATATTTAATCTAGTACTCTGCAGAATTTATCTAAATAATGATAAATGTTTAGAGGCTTTCTTTTGAGGATTCTAACTTATTAAAAGACAAATAGTCACTAGCTTAAGGGAACATTTTTCCTTCCTGACACAGTGAAAATGACAGAACATGGAAAACACTAAGGTGACAAACTAAAATGCATTTCTTTGCCAACAAATACTGTTACATAGAAAACACTGAAGATTTAAAGAAATAAACATTATAATAAATTACACAGTGTAGGAGATTTACCAAAGAGTTGAATGAAAGTTCAGATGCTTCTGGTAAAGCTCAGCTTACGTATTTGCTCCCTTATGTTTCAAAGAGCAGATACACAAAGAACCAGTTGTTTTGTTTCTTTGACAACAATTAAATGAAAGATATATCAGAGAATATATTTTCTTAACATTAAATTACTTTTTAAATACAAAGAATGCTTTATGGGAAAACCATTGGAGTAATTGTTTTAACTACAATGGATTCTGGAAAGGAACCAGAGGTGGCACTGCAAGGACAATATATTCATGGCATAGTTCACATGCAGATTGTTGAGGAAGAAATTGATGACAGAAAGACACACAGTGCTATCAGAAGTCATTAAGGTAGTTTGTTTTATAAAACCCAGAAATATTAGTTTTATAAAACCCAGTATCACCCATAAAAATATCATGGGCTGCACACTTAAGAACTTAGAGTTTTCTAAAATGATTTAGAATATTCCAAGTAAGAGTTTCAATGATTCATGAACATTTTTCTTAAAAATACAAAAATGAAATATTTTTCAAAGTGTTTGCAAGAACAACTAATTGACATCACAGATGATAAGTATGTATTAGTCAAATTTCAACAATAGCCTTTGCCTGTTTGGTGGCTGAGATTGAAAAACAAGTACCTTGATTCTCCAGCACAGTTACTGACACACTTGTTCCACGTGGATCCATGTGTGCTCATGTAGTGGCTTTTTCACCTATGACAGCCATTAAAACTGACTACTGAAACAAACTGAACTTAGAAACTGACCTTTGAATCGCTGTATCACAAGGTATTAAGCCCAGATTTTAAAAATCATAAAGCATATTAAATCACATTATCCTCACTCAATAAATTATTATTGACATTTTATACCATTAATAAACAAAATTTTAAAACTAAGTTTAAGACATTATTTTGTCTTTGCCTCATTCATTGTAAATTTTCTTTTTGCCTGTTTTATAGTCCACAAAATATATTATTACAGTCAGTAGTACATGCATAGGAAGGAAGAAATGATAAATACGTAAATATACATATCACATTGCATTCATTCTAAGACATACATTTTTTTCACATTTTATCAGCTCTGCAACTGGAATGGCTCTTAGAATATATTACATGTATATGGCTTAGATAGAAGTCAACTTATTTAAGTAAAGACTGAAAAATGAGCGTGTGGCATTCTTAAAAGGCCCCTCTCTGGTGTGTCGTTAACATCATCGCTGCCTCAGAACTCCTGTGATTAGTCAAATAGATTTATTAATTTGTCATCAGCCTAAAGGTTCTGATTGGAATTTGCCTTAAGCTTTAATGAAGTCGTTGGGGATTTGAGTACCTGGAGTCCTCAGATTGTATAAAATCTCAGTAGAAGTGCAGGTGTGAAGAGAATTGGTCATCTTTACTTGATATCTACTTGCATTGTCAAATATTTACCTAGTATCTGCAGTTAAGCCCTCTAAGATAAACAGAATGTAAGATATAATCTTTTAAGCCAAAAACTTGACAGTAGAATAGGGAGTATGAAACACAAACACATAAAGAACAATAAAATATTAAAATAATTTAAGAACACAGAGAAGAGTGGTCACAAAGGAGTTTTTAAATTTGCTTTATCTATATTTTAAGCCTCACTGAAACATATCATTTGAATAAAAATAAACATTTATTGAGGAACTGTTTTTTACCAAGTACCAAACTAGGTACTTTCACATTTATTATTTTGTTTAATACAGTAGTCTTATGAGACCATTCAAATATATATTGGACCCAATCTTTACAAACTTACAAAGACAGCTCCAGTTAATTTTGAAAATGATTCTTAAGTTGTCGTAAATTTCTGAGGAGTCGCTAAACTAGACACGTTTCCAAGAGCTTTGTACTTTTTTAGAACAGAGTAACTTCTTTAAATGTCACAAATATACTGAAAAATCTTTCGCATTGTTTTATTATTTTTGTTCAGTAAAAACAGTAAAGAATGTTTTACTGAAGAACTCAAAGCTACCTTCTTTTAACTTCTCACTCAGTTCCAATGTTCAAATTCAGTTATGTACACAGTGGATTAAAACACCGTGGCAGGCTTTGTGGGATACTCAAGGAGCAAAGAGATGTTTTTCCATGCTCATGAGGAGCTTTTAGTTTCGTTGTAAAGACAACTCCTGAAGACATAAATAACAATATAACAAGAACAATAATAGATGATGATACAAAAGATGACACAACATGGCACATTATGGACCTAATTACCAAAATAGTCATATCGATAATATGTACAAATAAATTCACAGGAGGAGAGGACTTTGAACCAAGAGTTGAAGAATATGTGTGACCCATGAAGAGAGAGGGCATTCATTGTGAGAATAATGAGATATTCAGAAACCTAAAAGCAAAGAGGATAAAACAAAGATAGTTCACAGAAACTGGCTAAGGCTGGACCATGGAACGTTTTGACAGCAACACTCTGGAAACTGATCTCATAACAGTGGAAAACAGCTAAAACAATTGTAGCAGAGAAATTAGATAATAAAATTCAAAGTACATGAATTTGGCTTTACAGTGCAGAGGAGGGGCTGGGCATAGTATGGAGCAGGGAGATGAGTTGAGGAGAGTACTACAGTAGTCCAGGTACCATTTGTGAGGAAGAGCTTGAATGGGTTGGTAGGCATGGTCACAGTGAGGCAAAACTGGATGTCAGAGAAGAGGGGTTAGGAAGATTTGTCAGTGTGGTCCCTGGTCTGGTATGAAGAATCAACAGGAATATTTAAAAGATTTAAAAGGAAGGAAGGAAAGAAGAAAAGAAGAAAAATGGGGGTCAGGGAAAGAGTTAGGAGGGCCAAGCCAGTTTGGGAGGAAAACAACTAATTTGATTTTAGTTATATTGACTAGGACAGAGAAGTGGAATGCCCAACAGGTCGCTGAAGTTGTAGGATTGCTACCCTGGAAAAAGGCCAAGGTTGAAGATTCTGGAATCGTCTAGATGAGTGGTTCTCAACCAGGGAAGATTTTGCCCCCAGGGGGCATTTGGCAATGCTTGGAGACATTTTTGGTTGTCACAAATGAGGAGGATGCTACTGGCATCTAGTGTGTGTAGGCCAGAGATGCTGCTAAAACATCTTAAAATCCACATGCCAAAGTTCAGAAACCTTGATCTAGAGAAGGAAAATTAGTAAATCCTTGAATGAAATAACACGAAGCAAGGGAAAGTATCTAGAATCATCAGTCAAATAGACCAAGGACTTCTTAGCAAATACTCATATTTACAAGGTATTAGTTGAGATGGAACTAACATGGGACATGGAACTAGCATGGGAGCCAGCCTGGAAGCAAAGAAGAGTAATAGAACTAACCATGAAACAGTTTGTTGACTCATTTATTCAACAAATATTTATTGAACTACTCTTATATATGAGGCACTAAGTGCTGGGGACACAGCAGTGCCTTCATGGAGCTTATATTCTAGTGGAGGGTGACAGATACTGGACAAATAAAGGAGATAATTATTAGGTGATGGTAAGTTCTGTAATAAGGCAACAAAATGGGGTCTGATGAGAGGGAGGGACGGGGGCCTGGAATGGGAAGGTTGTGAAGGGGCTGCTTTAGATGGGTTGGTGAAGGGGGCTTTCTGAGGAGATGCCTTTTGGGCTGTGAACTAAAAGAAGAGGAGCCAGTCCTGACAAGAGCTGGAATGATTCTGTCATGGATTCCAAGGGAGGAGGCGAAAGCCTTAAGGGAAGTATCAAAGGCCACACAGAGATCCGGCAGGAGTGCCTTTGCATATGTTGATTAGAGCACATCTGGGCCATTTAAACCTGCAGTCTTAACAGATAAAAGTATCAGTAAAATTCTGAATTTTTGTAATATTCATTTGTGGAAGGCAAAAAGTAAGTTCAGGATTTGGGGAATTTTAGGCAATACTACAGGGGACCCCAGTACAGCTCTGTCAGAATATGTCAAGCACTTGCTCTTCTCAACAATTTTCTCCACAAAAATTAGACATCCCCACACAATGCTCAAAACAACACAGTGATGGAACGCAAAAAATGCTAATATTAATCATCCCTTTTCTGTCTTTTCTTCCCCAGGCTGCACCAGGCTCGCTGCTCAGGCGGTATCTATTGTAATCAGCGAGTTACCTACAGTGATTGCATGTTTGCCTCCCCCAATTAAATACTTCTTTTTTCTGTCTGAGAGAAAAATGTCAAAAAACTTTGTTGAATTGAAGAAAGCTGGCCTGCTTGTCTGGAACTTGATTGTAATTATATGTCGGATATTTGAGGATGGAAACACTGTGGAACTTTTAACAGGTGCCTCCCTTGACAGATGGAGTAAAGAGAAACTCAGTTTCATCTGTGTGTGTTTGGAAAGCATCATGGGAGAGCAGAGAAGTAGCCCTAATCATATGACCCAAAAGGTCAGACAGAGCATTGAGCAGCAAAAACCCAACTGGATTGAGCGCCAATTATTGAAAGCAAGAAAATTGAGCACTGAAAGGTAAAGCGATGTTTTTTTTTCACTGAATTTCATCAAATATATTCACAATAACAAAATCACCAATAAACAACAACAGAATATTGTCAGATAGGCAGCAATGGTCATTGTGCTAACTTCAAGGGAACTTTGATGAATATAGTGAAAGATAAGTATTCCATTAAAAACTGGATCGTTAGACGTTCCTTGTCCTATTAAAATCTGAACCCCATTGATACACTGGAACATTATACTTGTTTAGTCACCATCTTAAGGTTTCTGATGAAAAGGGTGGTAGTTAAACCCAGGAGAATTTGGTTTCACTGCTTTTCAGTGTGCAAACTGGTATCTGGTGGATAGCCTGGAGCATTTTGTAAATGGATTGGGCATGGAGATTAAATTAAGAAGGAATTAATGGATATAAAAGGCCTTTTATTGCTTTCTGTGTACCTGATTGTCAAAAAGGTACACATTTTTCATCTGGTAATGTAAGAATCCCAGAGGGCAACTGGGGCATATCACACTCAAGCTATAAACACACCCAGCTGTTTCTGTACGAAAATGTCAGCCTTCTCATAGGTTTGTCACCAAGAGCTAAGTGATTTGTGGTATTGCAAAGATTTTTAGGGGTCCCTAATGAATTTAAGTATGTACATAGAGTCCTTCTGTCTTAAAATTAGTCTTCAGTATAGAATTGCATGATATTGATAAAGGAGTGATGGTTCATATAGTCCAAAGATCGTTAAACCAGCCCTTTTGTCTTTTTGCACTCTCACACACTGTCCCCCATTCTTTTAAAATATATTCATCTTGCTAGCAGATACAATTATAACTTTCTGCCGGAAATGACTAAAAGTTATTGCTTTTCCTACCACACGTAGAGGTAAAGAGCTTAGCCTTTGGAATCAGATGGAGAAATACAAATCCCTCATAAGTGGGCCGTCTTGTGCGAGTTATGGAATCTCTCAAAGCCTCATTTTCAGCTATGAAGGCAAGCTGATAGAGTTGTTTTGAAAAATAAAATAACTTTCATAAAGTTCTTAGCATCGAGTTTATAACTAGTAAGCATTCGTTATTTATAAACTTTACTAAAATACGTTGCACTCACTGGTTAGTATTATAACCAATACTCTTTACTGGTTTATATTAATCTGTGAGACTTTATGTTAATCCAAATGGAGAAATATAGGTAATCATGATTTTCCTGGTCTTGTCATACTGACTTCTAGAAATTTACTTCTGGGGCATCCTATGGGTAGGAATAACAATAGCTGTCAGGCAAATGCTTAGTAACATTGACAGTGACCTTCTTAATCTTTACATTTGCATTCGATACCAATTTACAGGCTTTAATCCAATGACTAAAAGATTAAGGCCAGATGTCATTATCCATGGCAGTGGTCATAAAAGGGAGAGAAAAAAGGAGAGTAGAAATAGTAGATGTGATTATAGTTACAAAGTTAAATTTATGATGCTGCTGATTTAGGAGTCTATCAATAAGATCAGTTTAAAGTAATGTCTCAGTAATATACCTGGGACTGCATACAGGAATCTATAAGTAAAATTTTTCCTTTAAAAGTTTTTAAAATTTAAAAGTTGGAGTTGTTTTCTAAACAGAACCAACACATCTGGTGTCTCCTATATAGGGAGTTTTCTAGCTAATATTTGGCTGATTAGCTATCTGTTGGAACAAGCATCCAAAATGAACTGCTGATTTTTAAAAGTGTTTTCCAGCCCTCAAAGATTCTGAATAAAATCTCTTACAGGATTTGGGTGCTACAGGAATGTTTCTTCTTGGCTTTGATTTCAAGTTGGCTGTCTGATAGACTAGAGAACTTCCACCTCTATGCATTTCTCACAAATTGATGATCATTTAGTTCATAGATCTATCTATACCATGAGAAAAATGTAATTTAAACCATGATGTCTGTATGTAGGTGGAGGGTTGCCTTGGTTTTACCCTGATTTTTTTAAAGTATGAGAATGTAATCATTTAAACTAAAATAGTTCTTCTGTTGAGATAAATGAAACATTAATTCCCCATGAAGATTATCTTGGAACTACATATCATTTAGCTAGATTTCTTTCACTTGCATCCAGATTTAAGTTTGATTTTATGGAAATTGTGAAAATAACTGCTGTGGAGAGGTGGCAGCTGTAAGCATTCCTTGTCTTGCATACTGCCTGAGAGCATTACTATTCATTAAAATAACCTTCACTTTGTAGTAACACTCAAGCTGTAAACAGTCAACTTAGATTCTGGAGAACACACAGCCCAAAAAGTAAAGAAATGCCTATCTTTGCAAAGTAATTTGTCGAGTTGAAGATTATTGTTTTTCATCATGGTGACCCTGACTTGGCTGGCTGGGTGCATATACAGATTAAGATTAATGTAGTTATTCCTTGGCTAAGGTCTGCCTCTTTCAGGGCACATTCTCCCTAATGACATGATTGATAGGCAGTCCCAAATCCAGAGAGGAACTCATTAATCATAGCATTGACTGAATCCAATCATTTGCTTCACCTGCACAGTGATGGACAGGAAAGGATACAATTCAGGGGCTGACACTGAGACACTCTTTTGTCAGAGGGTCTCAACTTTTTCAATGTCAGCTTCTACAATACCTCACGAAATTTTGCTTGCAACCTGTATGAAGCTTCAAAAAGATATTTACAAACTTTCTATTACAACAAGGTCTTTTTTGTCCCTAAAGATTTACTCTGGCTAATGAATATCTCTAAGAGAAGAATTTGCTTTATTTTTTAGCAAGGCTTATATGATTGCAAAGTTTTTTTTAAAAGAAGGATGTTTTGAAGCTACATGTGGAAGCAATATGAAAGTTAATGTCCAGCAGCTGGGTATCATTTGGTTCAGTCTTCAGGTCAGCGGCACTGACTCTTAGCAGAACTAATTTTATAATCATGGCAAAATCTCTGTAATGAACTGCAGTATATAGCTGATTACACCACAGTAAATTTCATTTAGTCTGAGAAACAGTGGAAACCCATGCGTTTTCTTAAGAATACTTAGATTGCAAAACCTAGCATGATCCTAATAGCAGTTGTAATAAGGAAATTAGTGTAGAATATATATGATGTAAGATGAGTATCATGATTTTTTTCTTTGCACTGGTATAGTTTGAGATTTTTAAAAAAAATTTTGTCATCCATTATTACTATGTAAATAATATGTAAAATCAATAAAAATCATATGAGTTCTTATAAAAGAAATTTTCACAAATATAACTTGCACATTCCTGATGTGGTGATAATAGGCCCTTTTCCTGGAAGAATAATCGGGATAGTGACTTTTGCTAAGTATCTGTTACTGGAAAGAAACAGGAGAGGGGCGTATGTTTTTAAAAGGCAACAAGTGTGAGAAGGCCAATTTAAAATCCCCAGTGGTAACACAGGGCCAGGAAGCACCCAGCCTATACTTAGCATAATAGGCTCCCCCTTTGACACTTTAGTCTTTAATGTGTTCTAAGACAGGTGTAAAGAGGACTCTACAAAAGACAGAATACCAAAGCTATTTCTGGCATCAAAGATACTTTTTGTCCTCAAAGAGAAAATACAAATTATTTCTTACACATTCTTAAAAAGAAATGTTTTGTTTTCATCCCATGATTGTAGCAATTTCAACAATTGCAGTAATGGGAAAATGTTTTATAGATAGGAATATAAATGCAATAAAGAAATGTTTTAAAAGAAACAATTCAATTTTTAAAAATGCTTTCAGGTGCTTAGTTCTCAGGCGCTGTTTATAGGCGCTGCAGTGGTTTGGGAAGGCTTGCCTCTCTGAGCGAAGTCTTTATGGGAGCTTTGAATATGAGATTTACGTCGACTCTCCGCACTCAATCTCTTTGATTATTTTCCATCTTTACAATTCTTCACCACTGATAGTTATATGCTCTCTTTGTGTTTAGTGCATTTATGACAATAGAGAAAAGCACAGCCTTAGAAGAAGGAGATATTGCTCTTGAACTGACTGAGCAGAAAATAAACATGATGGTCCTGGATATCTGCCACAAACCAGGTGGCAGCGAGTACCTGAGGCAAATTTATCACATCATGCGGCTCAATGAGGTAGGGAAACGGCCTTTTTACCGAGCAATTAGGTGTGTACTGGCCTGAGGCAGCGTCTGCTGGCAGCTAAGGGTTAGTCAAGGAGGTGATAATACTTCTTAAAGTCAATACCAAACTCAATATTGCATTATTAATAGAATCTATTCAGACCCGGCTGTTCTGCATTTGTACAGCAAAAGCTTCACCGAAACAATGTAGGTTTTATTTGTATGATTTAAACTATAACACGGCTCATAAACTCAGTTCAGCTCTGAATTGTATAGACTAGAGGTGTAGTTTGGGAATTGTGTGTTTGTGACTGTTAAGCTGATGTTAAAATCTGGTGTTTGTGAAATGAAAAATTTTCTGAAGAGAGATGTAGCTTTTCTTCTGTAGACGTCATGCTCATCTTGGTGAAGTTGGAGATTTCTTACGTAATGAGAAAAGCTCAGAAGAATATTGAACCATATTTGGGAGCAACTAGATTAACCCAAGAAAATGCATTAATGCGGGGACACTGGTTAGAACCAATGTCATTCTCGTCCACCTCTTGGCTGGATTAAGGCTCTGACCTTGCATGTTTCTGGCTATTTTAGCAAAAATGTGAAGAGCAGGTAACAGTTATTTACTTGAAACAATACAAGTTTGTTAATACAAGTCTGTTTAATTTCAGATAATACATACTTGAATTGGAATGTGACATCTTATGTGAATTAGAATTGTGTTTATATCTGCAAACACATGCATGCTTTTTTTTGAACAGTGGAAACTGTATAATATGAATAATGTGAAGATATAGTGTTTTATCTCGATGAGGTAGGCCTTAAAAGCAATAAATTTCCAAGGAAAGAATTAAATTCTAGCACAGCATTTTATAACTCATATATATAAATGTTCTCCCCACTGTTATCTATCTGAAAGTTACATCAAGTAAATCTTGTTTCCTGGTCTTCCTAGAGCTAATCAACCAGTCAATAAACAGGTGACATATCAGTGCATTCAATGATCACCTGAGAAGGATATGAGGAATTTGTAGCTAAGAGAAATAACCCTGACCTTAAGGCACTAGAGCTTAATTTGACCTGTTAAAAAGTAACACAACGTATTCACTCCTGCCAATGATCCCTCTAGCTTGCTTGGGGTTTCTATTTGGGGAATTCAGGAACTCATGGCCTTGGCTAACTGAAAGACCACCATTGTGACATCATGGTCTTCCTTGGTATGTCCACCTGGCCACCCAGAATAGCCAAAGTAGTTGCGGTGACTACTGAGGAACAGATGCTGCATAGGATTGCCTGCTGATCCTTAGTAAAGTGCCATTACAATAGTTCTGAGGACAGTAAGGGCTGGTATAGATTGCCAAACTGATAGAAGAGGTCTATTTTTAGAAGGTCCATAACACAAAAAAGATCAGTATTCACCAATAAGCAAGATCAACAAAAATTAAGTTGGATGGCTATTGGCTGTCAGCCACCTGTGTAAGGAAATCCAAAGGCTGTTTTCCCCTCATGAACCTGTGGAACTCTGGGCCAGTGGTTGTGAACAGGTATGCTATGAGATCTGATGTATGTAAGAGTCTTCGCTGGGGCACCACCACCTTTTGATCACTTAAGTTCAAAGTTATGTCTTTTCTTTTGTTACAACTGAGTGTACTTCCTTTTATGGCAATGTCTGTCAGATGGGATGTAGAGCTAAGAACTTGGCAGTTTATTGTGCTGAGTGAGAAGCATTGCTACAAGAGGTGAAATGTAAGACGATCCAACCAGAGAAAGTAGTGAGAACTTGGCTTTGTCACTACTAAAACGACGCAGCAGTAAATTCCAACAACAATACAAGGGTGACTACTCAACTAGGATAATGCTTATGGCTGCTTTTATACTGTGAGGCATCGTTATGCTGTAGGTGGAATTGCGTTGTGATGTTTGTTCATTTGATGCATTGTACTATGAGTCTTAAGCACTTTCAGGTGTGCTGCTAAATATTACTCAAAAATGTAATATAAATACCGAAGCATTTACGGAAACAGGCCTGGGTCAGGGGAAGAGTGGGTCTGCATTGAGAGAGAGTGAATTTATGAGAGAAAATGAGGTTTAAAATGTTTGTCTTTGAGATAAAGATAAGATGTCTGAGCATAAAAGTCCAACTGGTAGTTGAAGAGCCTGGCCATGAACACAGGTGAATGAGGACTTGACTAGAGATTTGGTGGTTTTCAACACGCGTGGTGGTTAGCTCTTCAGTGGAGGGAAATAGAAAAACGATGGGTAGAGAAATAAGCTTTGATGTAACTGCACAGGGAGGCTGTTCAAGAAAGGGTGTTCAAACAACATATTTCTTCTAAAGAAATATACCAGGCTAGCAGTAAATCTGGTTAAAGTGATGCCACGGAAAATCTGAGGCTTTTAAGAAGGGGTAGTGACAAGTGACAATATGGCAGAGGTCAGAGAATTAACAAAGGAGAAAACACCATTGTGTTCACAACTTGCAGCAGAGCACTTTCTCTTTTTTGAATTGTGGAACCAAAAACCCCAAAATATAGCAATGTAAGGGGAAATCAGTTGAGAAAGAGTGTTATTGGCCAAAACAGAGCAGTTTTCTAATGTGCATTATTTATTTATTCTTTAAATTTTACTTTCACAAATCATCATGGTAAAATGGTTTTTCCTGTTTAAAAATCTAAATCTAGGCATAAAATATTTTTCTGACGGCTTTATCAATATCTAATAATATTTAGTAAGAGTCTGTGTGTGTGTGTCAGAAGTTACAGAGTCAATCTTTCTAAAGAGCTATGGTCCACAAAGAGCAAATTTAAGAAATGACTCTAATTAAGTAGTGGGGCCTTAGCTTTTTAGGGTTTTAGGATCTGGCATTTTTGCCTTCCGCCGTTATAGTGAGCATTCTCTGTTCATGAAGCTGTTGAGGCACTGCGAAAAGCACAGTGAACTGAGACCACAGATGTGGCTTCTTGCCCAGACTCTACCACTCACCCCCATGTGACCTCAGGCTTGTCCCCTGACATTTCAGAGCCAACCGTCGAATGTGGTGTGAGCTAGTTTCTCAAACTTTGCTGTGCCTGCCGGTCTCCTGAAAATTCTTGTTCACTGTCAGATTCTGATTGGGCGGGGCCTGAGATTCTGCTTTTCGAACAAGCCTCCACGTGAGGCTGATTAGGCTGGTCTATGCGCAGACTTTGAGTATGACCTCTGAAGTCCTTTTCAGTTCTAACATTCTGAAACTAGTCCTAACCCTAATCTTGAAGAAAAAATTATATTGTGACATACTAAAGATCAGAAGATTTGTATTATTTTATTTATTAAAGGACTTGCTTATTAATAGCAAGCATTTGCTAGTTTATGGAAAACTTTAAGTCACTTTAATTTGTTGTCTTCCAGAAAGAGTCCTATAAAATAGATTAGGATTGTTCTCCTTGTTTATTTATGGATGAAAAATGAGGTAGAACGCAGTAAGTAGATTGGCTTTTCTGCTTAGGCTGCCGCTGGCTGTTGGATTTGAATTACGTATTTTGAGCTTCTGTTGAACCTTGATATTTTTCAGACCACGGCATAGAAATAGAGTTTAGGAACTTGCATTATAATTAATTCTACATAGAGTAAGATTGCTTGCAGTGAAATATCAGAGTCCTTAGCACTCTGCTGAGCGTGGAGTAGGTAGCAACTGCACTTAATGAATGAATGAGCAACCTTGTACTTTAAGTAACCATACACCTGAGTTAAGTTTTGGTAACCAGACATGTTAATACATGAGCCAATGACAAGACAATGCCTATTAAAAAGATTCTGATAGATCAAGCATACATTTATTATGTGAGAATCTGCTAAACGGTTTTCTAATCTGTGCTATATATTAGGTGAACCTGTTTGTGATGGGTTTATTGCAATGCTGATTGGTCCTCTGCTGTGTTTCTTCTGAAAATGTATTCTGTCCCGAGGCAAGTAATACACTGTAATCTAGCAAATGTGCTGAAAGGGTAGATTTGGATATTGATCAGTTTATTTTTAGAGAGAATATATGCTTCCCACCATCACGACTTGTAATTTTTTTCCCTTGAAGGAATACTTAAAAGAACAGCTGTTTTCTATGAATGGTTCAGAGGAAAAGCCATTACCCATCCGACCTTTAAAGCCGACCTTGAAGAGTGTGGAAGATCAGCCTTCTGCCTTTAACCCTTTCCATGTGTACAAGGCATTTAGTGAAAACATGCTAGATCAGGTATGTGGAAATTAAATGGTAAACTTAATTAAAATGTTTGGTTTCTTTACACAAGTTAGAAAAAAAACGCTTTTTGTTTGAATATTGACTCATAAGCTTTTTTGCTAAGAAGCAAAAGGCCTTGTATTTATTGGCATGGTCCGCACAAATTGACTTTGAAAAAGTTATTTTATCTTCTTTCTATTTGTCAAACTGATTCATATGTTTGGTCTGTAAAATGTAACTTTTGACCAGGTCAGCTCACTGTGGGCAGAGGGAACATCTGTTCAGCTGTGTCTACGGAAGGCCTGAAAACCCAGGCATTTCAAAACATACTCACCTCCCTTGCTGCCCCCATTCTTCAATGCAGACACTCACAAAACACCTTGCAATCTTTATGAATTTATCTAATTTATCAGGTAAATTATAAAATAGCTTAAAATTAATTATAAATAGAGCATTGAGCTCCTATTTTAAGTGGCATGAGGCAAATTTACTTTTTTACAACCCTAAACACATTCCTGAATTTTAAATGAATTTGCTGATGATCTTAAAGTCAGGATATTTGGAATAAAGTCAATGTGATAAACACCACACATTTTTAAATGTCAGATTATGGCATTGTTTGAGCTGCATGTTTCAGTAGTTATGTTAAAAAGATCTTTTTCCAAAGTATTTGAAATCTAAAGTTGCTTTTGCTTTGTTCGTTCCTTTAGTGGCTTTTCCCACAAGCCTCTTGACAGACTACTTGAACTAACAGGGCAGAAGAGAAGGATGGCTTGACCTAGAGCTCTGACGAAAATAAGAATTAAAACAATGGCCTAATTCGGGATGCAGATAATATTTTTACCATGCCTGTTACAGCCCTAGTCTACATTCATCAATACTGCAGTAGAATAAGACCTTCAAATGCTGACAACCCGGGGCAGAATTCTCCTGCTCTATGACAGAATTGTAGTGCTCCATTAATCAGCAGGTGACAGGGCATAGTTCTTGTTGGATTTTAAACATCGGCCTGGTCTCTTATTATCCAAACTATTTAGTTTTAAGGAGTATAAGCATCCATAATACTTTAAAACCAAATATATTGTATAAGTTTGAGTTTATTGGCTGCTTTCCTGTGTTGTGCATTAGATTGCTTCCAACCATAAATAATCATTGTAGCTGTTAAATTATCCTCACTTCATTTAAATAAATGGCATGTTTTATTCAGTTCTGAATTATGAGATTATCTTTCACAGTAATTTTTCTCCTTACTCTGTTGTGAAATTTTCTATTAAATGAGAAAAAAGAATCATTTATGCTATTTACACTTACAGATCTTTATAATTTCCCCTTTAAAGCATTTTTTTGACCAAAAAGATAACATTAATATCACACTGTAATTCAGCTGTGTCTTATCATTTGAGCCATAGCAATTCCGAGTTTGTTTTCTAATCAAACTTCTGGGTGGTAGATAAAAACAACAACTATAAATTGACGTATAAAAAAGTTGCCAATTATTTTGCTTTGCTTTTCAAAGAGTCACTCTCTCAGAGAAACTTGTTGGGCAAATGCCATTAGTACTTGGGAGAATAATGACTCAAGAAATTGATTTATATTTTTATAAATAATGACTACATCCCCAAATGGATTTATAAATTAATTGCTGTCTTATTGGAATAAAAACCTTCTTCTGTGGACATGATTGATGTTATCTGTCTAAGTCCTTGTTCTAGCCCCCCTCCTTCTTAGTTAGTCTATCACAGCTGGAGCTTTAATTTACTGATCATATTAACTCTGATTAATAACTAACAATAGCGTCTTCTCATTTATCAACAGTCAGCCATCAAAAAATGGAACTGGAATTGGTCAAACTTGCTGCCAAATTATCTGGGACTGGATAAGATGACCTTCAGTGTACTGCTCGAAAACAGGTACTAAGACTGGGGACTTGGGGGATCTGGTTGGGGGAAGAGGATACATATATCCCTTATGTATAGGATATATGTAGGTGTATATAGATATGGATGTCTGAAATTATGTGAAGTATGCTATTGAAATGCTGTTTTTCCAAGTAAGCATTTGCAAAAGGCAGCACAATTGTTTTCTGAGATGAAATTAGTTGATTTTAGTCTTTTTAAATATTTTTGACTTTGTGTATGTAATAGTTCAGTATTGTAAACACCAAAAGTTATTGGCTTGAGTGTCATTATAATACTATGCCTTTGTTTATAACAACTTAATGAATGTATACAAAGTGCCAAGCCAAATCAACTCGTCTAATCAGGGGAAACATAAGTAAAACTGTCATGATTGAAATTTTGCTTTTCAGCCAGTAATTTTGGCACAGCCTTCCTATAGCCTCAGTTGCATATTACTTTACACACACACACACCCCCACATACACCCCAGGACAACCCAATATAATGGTAATGTGATTTCACCCTAGGAATCCGCACATGTCATTTATTTTGCACAAAAGTATAAACATTTTCTTTGTTTTGAATCAATTAACATATTATTTTTGAATACCTTTAAAATTTTCAGTGAAAATTTTAAGATGTAACCTTTAAAAATTGAATTTTTCTATCAAGTATCACATTTTCACTTAAGATATATATGTATGAGTCTCCTTTTACTGTTCAAGTATCATCTGTTTGCTTATAGTTAAGTGCGAGAATTATCTTCTATATAATCTTTGTGATACAGAATGCGTTTCCATATCTTTTTGAAAAAAATATTAAGTATCATTTTTCCTGAAACATAATAATGACAGTGACATAGTAGAATTGTCAAATCATCCATGGGAAATCTGGGTTCACATAAGAAAGTATCTTAAGTGAGAGAGATTCCAGTAGTCCCCAGATGGAGGTTTAAAAAAAAAAGAAAGGCAGCATTATTGCCAATAAAAGCTGTAGCTTAGATGTGTGGTCACAATTGTATTCCTAATATTTCCCTCCTGAATGAAGCTCACCCACCCATCATGGCCAAAGCTGAACAACCAGAAGCTTCCCCATCAAGGACAAAGCCTTCTCCCAGCAAGTTTACCACCTGGGAGGCAGTAGTTCAGAAAACACCTATTCATGACAAGTCCCACAGAAGTGCTCCCATCCTTTCCCAAAGTTGCTTAGAGAGTTGGGAGGTGGGGGTGGCGGAGGAGAGGCCAAGTCTTCTGAGGAGTCTATGGTTACATGATATCTACACAATATTAAATGTCTGTCTGGAAACAAACTAGAAAGATAAAGACATTTTCTTCCTGCTATTCAGAAAGTTTTGAGTTTATGTAGATTAACTGTATTATATTTTACGAAGGTTTTTCAGCTGTGAAGTGCTGCTTCCAATCCACTAAATGGTACTCAAGGGGCAACATATCCTTCAAAACTTACTGCATTTGCTCTGCATAATATTCACTTTTAAGTGAATTTGTGTTCTAACCAAAATAGCATGTTGTTATTTTTGTTTAACAACTATAGGTATACTTCAATTAGGTCAATAGTTATTAAAGCCTATTTCCCTGAGAGAGTATGTGCAGCAGTTGGTGAAAGAAAAAAACTCCCACAAATTTAGCCAGAAGTAACAGGTCAAAACAATTCTCTTGGAAAAGTGTCATGAATTTTTAATAGAAACAGCTAGAATCTCATCCCAATAAGAACCTTAGATTTATTTTTAAAGAATGGTATGAAAAGCATTCTACTCGAAACTACCGCACACCACAAGCTACAATGGACATAATTGATCTACCTTAGAAGGATGAAAGACACCTGAGAGTTTTTAATCTCTTTTAGCACTTTCCCATTTATTTTAAGAATGTTATTTATGAGACTTGATTAATATTGAACCAGTAAGGAAATTGTTTCTGTTATTTTCTCTAAGAGACTCTTGTTTGGACTTATCTGAAAAATCCTCATTTTTAAAAAAATAGTGCATTGAATTTTTGACAACCTGGTTATCTCAAAATACGTATTTGAAAATGAGACCACAGAACACTGAGCTTCTAGAATGAAAGTTGTGTATGCTACCCCACATCCATAAGTGATACTTCTCACATACAAACATGATCTTTGGGGGTCGGCAGAGCCAAAGAAGGAAACCCAGAGCAGCTCAGCTGAATATGCTCAGCTCTTTGTCCCAAACTCACCAATTAAACAAGTCACTTGTCTTTTTTCTCTCTTTAATTGATAATATATTTATACTAATCTATCTCTACACTATGGTTGAGTGTATATATGGGGCTGCAAATGTTGTCTGAAGACATAATGTTACCAAAAAAGTAAACTCAAATACACAAATATGAAAAAATGTTGAGGAGAAGGGAATCCTGTCTGTTCTCCTCCTAAATTCTTGTGTACCTGGGCTTCAAATTCAGTATCATAAGCAGACCCTCTGTAGACTTACTCAGGACTCCAATGCCTAGGGTGAACCAGACCTTCACCCCAAAACAGCATGGAAATGGAAAAGCAGGATTCCTGGGTTCTCAGGCCAGTCCTGTTGTGAGCTTACCTTAGGAAAGTTACCTAAACTATCCGACTTTGGATTTCCCCATCTTTAAAGTGAAATAATGATAATCATGTATCTACCTCTTGGAGATTACTGACACAATCGAAAGTGTTAAAAGACATGGAAGCATTTTTGAAAGTTGAAGCTACAATACATAGAAAAGCACTAGCACATGGCAGTATTAGTGTTTGGTTAGGTAAGGAAACAGTACAGGTCATTAAGGATTAACGGGGAGTTAGACGTGGGAGATGGAGCAGTCAGGTTATATCTGAGGTTACATATACTGAAGTTTTGCAGACTCAAGGCCTAAAGCAATAGTGAGGATCAGAACAGGTATCAGGTCGGAGACCAGGCAGTGGGCCCTTGGGTCTAGAAGATAAACTGAAAATGAGCAAGGTGGAGGGTCTGAAGGCCAGGTACGCCGCTCAGGAGACAAAGACTCAAGAGATGAGCACTTGAGGGACAGTTCAGACACATGAAAGAGGAGCTATGCGGTGTCAACAATGTCTATATCTGAGACAATACTGGCCTTTGCTCCATAAGCTAGTTCTGTGCTGACTCCAAAGGCAGAACAAGTCTTGAAGTGGCTGCCTGAGTCCTTGGCAGGGATGTGACTTCTGCTCGCTATCAGGCCTCATCCCAAAACAGCTCTCCCCAATTCCTGTTGTTCTCAGTTCATTTCCTTCTTCCTGTTCTTTGGATTCTCCAAGCTGTTTCCCATTTTAGGGTCCTTATACTTGCAGTTCCCTCAGCTCTTCACATGGTCACTGCCATCTTGTCCATCTGGGGCACACGTTACCTCCACAGAGAGGCCTTTCCTTGTCACCTGTCTAAAGTGACCCTCCCAGCCTCCCCAGCATTCTGCTCTACTGTGTTTTCTTCATTGAGTTATCACTATCCGAAATCTTAATTTCTGTTTGTTGTCCTTCAATCCTGCCCCCCAAGGTAGAATATAAACTCCATGAGAAAGCACCTTGGCCATCTTATTCCAACTGTGTCTTCAGTACTAGAACAGCTTTGGGGCATATAGTGAGCTCTGGGTAATACTTGTTGAATTTATTAACAAATTAGGAATGAGAATGCAAAGAAAAAGTCAGCTCCTGACAAAAGAGCAGAGTAGGCATTCTCGAAACGTGATGTTCGATCAGTAGTCATGGAGGAACAAGAAGTACACTCTGGAAAATCTCTAGTAAAAAATTATCTACACGCATATTCATTCTCTTCATTTTCCAAATTTGGATGAAAATCAGGTTAATTAAGCTCTGTATGTTTAAAATGCCTGTTTTATTATTATTATGTGAAGTTTGGCTCAGATTAAAAGCACAGAACACTGGTCTTCATTTTTAATTAATTGATCCATTTCAAGCCATAACCTCAGCATAACCTTCAGCAGCCAAGTCTGTTCTTTACTCCATAATTCGGAAGTCTTTTGACATTTGGGTGATAGGGTTTGTACTTGTTAAATGATACTAAAAATGCAAATTGAAAAATTTAAGGTGGAATTGGCTGACAAGAGTATCCAACTCAGCCTTTGTAAATTTTTGATTTTCGAGACGTTTGAAGAATATGGAGTAACTGAAATCTCAGAAAAGAGATCCTGCATGTATATCAATGATATATGTTTTTCAAATTAGAAAGTTTGCCATTGTGGAAAATAGACTCCTTTGAGGTTCAGAAAATCAACATATATATCAGTTCTACACCTTTACCTTTAATGCTATATAAGAGTAAATACAGTGACTATACATTGATCTTTTGAAATAATAAAGATACTTTTCACAATTTCTTACTATTGGTTTCTTGCTTGCTTTCTCATCCACTTTAAAATAAATCCAGACTAGTGAATGAGGCAGTGATTGCATTTGTAGGAGAGTTCACCAAAAGGAGCATTCTAAATTCCTTCATTCATGGCGAATCTCCAGATTGCCATTTTGATATTGTTTTTTTTGTCACTGGAACAAATTTATGTTACTCCTTTTCTCTTTACCTTATTTATTCCAGACTAATTCCCCAGAATTGTGGTGTCGCAGATAATCTGTGAATACGGTGGATTGCTATGCTATTTTAACCATCTAAATATACTGCATATGAGTTTGGCTTTGAGTTGAACAAACACAATTAAATATGATGGCAGAAACAGCAGAAGGGGTGGTGGTGGCAGATTTCTGGCTATCATTTTGGGGCCTTTCCAGGTGGACAATAACCGTATATCTGAGAGCAAACAGAGATTAGAAAACTTGTTTTAAAAGAGCTGTTGATCTGTGGATTTGATTGTTTGCTTTTAATAATAATTATTATTAAAATACCTTTACACTGTATCAGATTATAGTGTGTGTGCCCTGTGGGGTGTAGAGAGTAGAAAATATTGTCCCTGGCCTTTAACTGCGCACGCTGCACTCTCCAATGACCGTTCTCGGGCAGGGCTGCCATTAGCACA